TGTTCACTGGTAGTTCTGCGGCTGCCGGTGGTATTTCTGGTATTTCTCTTCCCAGATAGTAACCGGGTTATTTGATACAATGTCAGGTCTCTCCTACCTGCAGCCTGTTCTGCTTCACTTGCCAGTGTGTCGTGGAAGTGTCTTTTTTTCCCGTGCACTCTCCTTCACTTCACTTCTTTGTCCAGTGTTTTATACATTGTACTCAGTTCCTCTTCTCGTTGAGCATCCATGCACTGGTTTATCTTCTGCTTCACCATCCTCCTCTCCCTGCTCTATCAGCTTTCATGTATCCATTGAGATCCATTCCTTAACTTCTTTCTTCTTCCTTCCTAATATGGTTGTGCAGGTTTCTTTCCACATCTCTTTCAAAGACTTCCAGTGTTCTTCCACACGGGTTTCTTCAGGGATGTTGCTCAACATCTCCCATTTTGTCTTGATGACTGGCTGCTGTGAAGATTTCTTTTGTAGTTTCATCCTTCAGTTTCTGAGTGTTGTACTTGAACTGTGGTCTATCACCAGCTTCCTTGAAGGCTTTTAACTTGATTTGGAAGGTTCCTTTCACTAGACATTAAGTGGTCTGAACCTACATCTGCTCCTCTTCTTGACCTTGTGTCAAGTAGACTGTGTCTCCACTTTCTTGAGATTGAGATGAAGTCGATCTGATTTTTAGTATGTCTTGGTGTCTGATGAAATCCATGTCGTTCGCTTTGTGGATGTCCTTGTGCTTGAACACACTGCCTCACTGCAATCACCAAATCGTTGAATGCACAGAATTCTGCTCACGATTCTCCATCCTCGTTCATCACCTCGCCGAGCGCTTCTCCACCCATGGTTTGTTCTCTTCTTGTGTTGTCCGCTCCCAGTTTGGCATTCATGTCACCCTACCCATTCGAATTTTGGTGTTACCAACTGGGGTGGGGTCTTGTCCAGTGTTGATTGGAGTTGTCTGTAGAATTCCTCCTTCTTCTTTTGCTCTGCATTATTTGTAGGTGCGTAGAGCAGCATTGTATGATTGTGACCTTTCTTCCTTTTGAGTTGAATCTTGCTGTTATGATCCTGGAGGAGATTGGTCCCCACTGTATGAGAGCCTTCGATGCTGTTGGGGACATCATGATAACCACTCCCTCAGTGTGCTTGTGGTTGTCGTCTGGGTGACAACGTCGGAGTAGATTATTGATTCTCCAGTTGACAATTTGGAGTGTCCACTCCTATTCCATCTGCTTTCGTAAATTCCAAGCACTTCACTGCGATACCTCCTCATCTCGTTTGCAATCTGGGCAGCTTTGAAGTTTCTTTAGCGGTTAGATTTGTTTTACGGAGTAGGGTTGTTAGCCTTACGCCCAACCTCTCCTGTTTACCCGGCCTTAGGACCGGCAGGTAATTAGTGAACTAGTTAACCAGGCGAGGTTGGTACCGAGTAAGTACATCACCTTACTGATGGATCTCTACTCGAACACCTCCGGGTGTGTTAAAGCCTATGGTGAGATGTCAGGTGAGTTGTGAACGTCGATTGGTATCTATCATATATGTTCTTACGAAGGTCTCCCTCTCGTCATCTGATTACACTGGGGTTGACCTAATCACACGAGATTTTCGCTAGACATAGAATGCGTAGATGACATGGTCCCGTTAGGTGAGAACGCTGACAAGATGCAGAGTCTTCTGGACACCTTGAGTGGCAACTTTTGGTGTTTAGGATGCGTTTGGCACTACACAAATGCAAATCGTTGCTCCAGTCTTCAACGATGTTCCGGCCAATAGTAAAGGGCGAAGTAATTGAGCGTTTTGGACACTTCACTTACCTGGAAAGTTGGATCAGCCCTGGTGGCTTAATAGCCGACGAAATCTCTGCACGGATACAAAAGACTCGGTTGGTTCTTGTCAACTTATCCGATTGTCTATTGCCGGTCTAGTGTACTGTGCTGCAGTTCACTCTGTTGTACCGTATGGCTGTGAAACATAGGTATTAAAGGCTTCAGGTGTTTGACCACCGTTGCTTTCGTAGCATAGGCTGTGTTTCGTGATGTCACCATGTGAGTAACTCAGAAGTGAGGTGGAGTTTTTGGGGTGGAGAGGTAAGTCAGTTGATGTGGTTGTGAACTTTCACTGACTGAGATTGCTGGGACATGTGTTACGCATGCCTGCTCACCGTTTGCCTCGCCGCGCAATGTTGGCCGGACTAGTTTCACGCTGGAAAAAGACTGGAGGTGACCAAACTGAAATATGGTATCCACGCGTGCAGTCGTTGACTGTGGGTTCCAGCCATATAGGGAGATGCAGATCAGCCGGTTGTGGCTTGGCGGGTTAGGGAAACTAGTGGTTTGAGACTGACTCTAGGTGATAGGGCTCAGAACGGATATCAGTGGTGTACCAGTGGTATACACACAGATCCCCATCTTAACCGCCATACTTAATGTCTCATTCCTCCCTACTCTCTTACTACTCTCTGCTCCTTTTGAGCGATGTTTCGTCCCTTCATCTTCCACTATATTGCATTGTTACTTGATGTGCTGATGTTATTATTATTTGTCGCTTGGGTTCCTAGCAGAACATAGGGCTTCAGTAGTAGCACGTCGCCATCTCACTCTCTTCTCTACAGTCTGCTCAACCTGGCTCCACGACTGCCCACAAGTTTTTATTTCTTCCTCATATGATCTCCTCCATGTCACCCTCGCCTCGGATGCCCAACTCGTCGTTTCGCCATCGGATTCAACTCGAGGACCTGGCCTGGCGTGTGGTGTCCCCAAATGGTCTTCTCAGTGTATGCCCAATCCAGTCCATCTCCACTTTCTTCAGCGTATTCGTTGGGTGATGGGTTGTTGGTTGGTTCGTTGCCAGGCAGCAGCAGCCAGCCAGCCAGAGTTCCTTGTTGCTTATTCTTATTATTCTGGCCATCTGACCATCTTCAGTATGGAGTGAGCGTAGGTGGCAGTTGTTGATGAATGTCTGTAGTTTGTTTGAAATGCTTTTTGTAACGTGGTAAGTTTCTGAACCATCAGATAGAAGCACTGACTTGACTGAATTAGTGTTGAAAATCCAGATGTTGTTCATGCTTTATGCTGAGTGCAGTAGATCTCCACACTGGTTTCAGATTAATGAAGGTCTATCTTGGTCTTCCGATCCTGGCTTTAACGTCCTCATCTGTGCCTGTGCCGCGTATGTAGGTGAAAGAGACTACTTCCTTTAAGTTTCTCCCGTTGATGGTAATTGGTGTTTGTTGTTGATGTTGTTGTTGTTGGTTGGGTATCTTCATCACCTCTGTCTTGTCTATGTTCACTTGAAGTCCCGTCTTCGCTGCATCACCTCTTCTGTCAACATGTTGGTTTTTGCCTGTAGATCTTCGAGTTTGTGCTACAAGACATTAGACACAAATCATCATCGTTGGCGAAATCCAAATCTTCTTCTGGGGTCTTTTCATCGTTCCAGCCAGCGTATGCCCATCTTCTCGCCGCTCACTGTTTGCTGCACGGTCCAGTCGACTAGAATCAGAGAGATAATGGATGATAGTAGGCGACAACCTTGTCTTACTTCTGTCTTCATTTGAAAGGCATCACTGAGCTAAGCTTTTTATTGTGAATCACTTGGCACGTGGTGTTGTCACATATCTGCTGTTGAATGAATTTGATAAAGGTTTGAGGCACTAAAACCGTAGTGTTGAAGCAGCAGCAGCAGCTGGCAAATTACTTTTCGGTCGACGGTATCGAAGGCCTTTTCAAAGTCGATGAAGTTGAGGTAGAGAGCTGACTGGCATTCTACGCGTTGCAATTTGGTGCGCACATGATTTGTACTTCCTGAATCCAGTCAGCCAGCCTGTTCCGGTCGTAATTTTGAATTCAGCGCACCTCTCTCTATCTCTTTCCAGGATGATGCGGCTTAATGTTTTGCTTGGTGTGGGTGAACAGTAGCATGATTCTGTGCCAGTTATTGCAAACACTTAGGTCTTCCTTGTTTGGAAGTTTGACGAGGTAGCTCTTCTTGCAATCAATAGGCAGGTGCCTTACCTTCCCTCCAAACCTTCTGCAATAGTGGTGTGAGTGTGTCCGCTGTTGTCTCTGTGTCTATTTTCAGTGCTTCTGGCGGGCTTATGAGCGGTTAGTTGCTAGTGAAGTAGTTATCTAGGTGAGGTTAGGCCGTTACGTAGTAATGCCTGGTCTGATGTTGATCTTTATGATGATTTACAGTTATCGTAATGAACTGTTCAATTTATTACTGATCTGTCAACCACTTTTCTGGATGTTATTCCGTAGTCAAGTTCTTTGCCGGCTTTCACAATAGTTTGTCTATCGTAAGTTGTTTTTTATGGCCATGAGAGTCTTGGGATATCAAGTGTTATACAGCTTTTTTTTACCTCAACTAGTTATCTTGCTCAAGTGCTTAAGCCACCACGCATGTTATGCCACTATCATTTAGTACCTTGGAGTTTATTTGAAAATCTGAACTTCACATAACCATCTGTAGATATAAGCATCGCTAATATGTTTCTTATTCCACAAGAAATTTATCCGGTATGGATGTATCTGTTAAATAGTAGAGTATGTATTTTAGTTGTCAAGTGTTTGATATATATGAACTGAACATATCTCTATACCTGTTTTTGACACGATAATCGTAGCCTTTGATACACTTTTTTATATACTACTAAATGATGTACTATCAGTCCTTGTTCGTCTACTTATGTCCCTATATTCATACTCTAACAGGTAATATTGAACTCATATTTTAATTCAAATGACGCATCCCAAAACTTTATCTCCCTAGAGGCGTTTTTGATGGAGGATAAGTGTGCTTTCAATAGTATTACGTCTTTGGTGAAATTTCAAATGTCTGTGCTAATCTATTGGAGTTCAGCTTTCCCACCAACAAGTTTTTCCTAAGTTTTATAGTGTCACATATGAATTTGGTTGTATACAAGTGCTGTTGCTTAAATGATTCTTTCATTCTGTAACTCGTCGGTGCTAGTTTTCTAAGCGCTGTTTACCTCTCTGTATATTGTTCATTAGAATTCATGATTGCTAACCAACACAATAATGCAGCTGTTCCGTACAATCTCAATGCAGCGAATCGGCAACAAAGACAGATACAGATAGTTGATGCAAACACATTGCAACCTTTAGCGGGATCAGTGGTTAACGAAGGGTACAAACATGATGACGTTGCTGCTCACAGTACCCAAGTAGTGTATGGAACTGCTGCTGCTACTAACTTTGCACCTATAGTGGGCCAGAGTATTCAGCTTGTCTCCTCAGTACCCAGTGCAGTGGATTTAGCAAACAATGCATATGAATCGTCAATGGTTGTTCCTCAAGAGGCTTCACAAACAGGTGTGGATATTGAGCCTATCGATTTGGAGGAGGTTCAGAAAATTCAGGCTCGCATGCCAGCTGCTGATCCGAATGCTCCCGTTGGTTCGAACAAAAATCCTATTAGGATTATACAACAAGGCAATCAGTACATAACTACACAAGATGTATCTGATGAACATTTGCAACAAATCATTCAAGTATTAACAAACCAGGCGTTACTGTCAAGCAGTGGTTCTCGACCAAGTGCTATTTATAATCGTCTCACAAATCGCCGTATTATATTCCGTGTAACGCGCGCAAAGCGTCGTCGTAACGGTAGTAATGCTGAATCAACTAGCCATAGTATCGAGCGGAATAGGCCCAGCATTACCATTAAGAGCGAAAAGAAAAGCCGAGCAGGTAGACCTATTGGGCGGAAGCGTAGGAAGCGTGGTTCGGATGAGGAAGATCCTGACTTTGAACCTGAGGTACCAGAAGAAGAAGTCCTGCCGTTCCCACTTATTAGACGAACTTCTGCATCTGGTCGTGTATCGAAACCACCAAAACACTTGGTAATAAAATTAGTGTGTTAGTTTGTTTAACGCATGATGATGGTTATTTTCCTACTTGTATATTTTTTGTGTAAACTATGTGGAGTTTTGAAGCAATTGTAGGTTTTTTGTGAGTGATATGTTAGTAGACAACTTGTCTGTGTTGTGTGAAGTTTCTTGTTTAAATTTTAGAGAAGTTAAACTTCATAGTTTTGTAACCTGTTTACGTCTGAGTTCACAAGCAATGCACTGGAGTAAATGTTAATCAACTAAGAATTTTCTAACCACTTTAATGCGACTTATTGACTTGAATAGATCAGCGATCAACTTGGAAAATAATCTTGAAATTTTTGACCAGATTAAAGTGGCTTAAGAAACCGGATTTTCTTATTTGAAGTTGTCAGATTATGTGAATGATGAGTTTAACCGCAGATAAGCAATGCTCTGTCTCAGTGGCTAGCGTGACTCTGTGGTCTAGAGGATTATGCTTTGGTATTTGAAGCCATCAACCTCTAGTTCGAGTGCTAGTGGGGACAGCACCACTCACTGGGAGGTGGGTACATCCAGCTGACGAGTCCCGAGTAGAACGAAACGCACGTCCTGTGTTCGACTGCTAGCCACTGTCCATCAATAATGTATACCTCTGTTTCTATGTTTATATCACCAACTTTCAGACCAATACGAGTAACTGTTAACGTTTCGTATTTGTTAGTATCTCATTTATTAGCTTATTTTCAATGGAAATGCTACCGACACTACAGGTGGATGGTCAGAAGGTTAATCAGTGTTAAAAATGTCCTTATTCACTGTCCACCCTGTAAATAGTTTGGAAATCTTTAAGTTTGACGAGTTTACTTGAAGTTAAGGAAGGAAATTGTTTGTGGAATTTCGATAAAACCGTTTGATTATTAGTTTCAACGAGTAAGTCCATTTAGCCGAAATTAAAAACTATCTCATTCATTCCGAGCTATGATATGAAGTCTATCCACCATGCAATGTGTTAGACAGGGTAGTACGTAGGATGCTTTCTACTGACTACATTCACTTTTTCAGTGCGATAACTTTTTCCTTTTCCTAGGTAATTTAGGATCCACTCGAACAAACGCACCTAAGAGTCGTTTAAAGTTAGAAGACTGGTTTTCTCGTGACAGTAATTAGTAGTCCTGTATTTAATAATGGTTAGTGCATAAATTTGCGTGCTTACATTCGATATGATTTACCAGCAAACTACGTGTAAGCTACAGTTAACGAACGGTGAAAATAATAGATTCATTATGGCTGAATGTCAACTCATAACTTCGACCAATCAGAGAACAGACAGCCAGTTGGAGGAAAGTAGGAAACTATGCATATGAAACGATTACTTCTAAGCCATATAACCAATAGAATGAGAAATGTTACGTGTGACCAATGAAAACATTTTTTGCGAGATTTTGGAAATATGGAGCATGCATTTCCCAGAAAGCAGCGTCTAGCCTGTGGGCATGATGTGTTATTATATGTTACGACGAAGGACCCGGTTGTTTTCATTTTACTCAGTTACTTTGCTGTTTAACATTTGTTAGACGGATGTAAAGCTTGGACTTTAAAAGTTGTAACCTGAGGTTAGAAATGTTTTAAAGGATTTGATGGTGTTCAGCTGATTCAAGTCGATACCTGTGTCTAAATAGTAATAATAATTTTATGTAGCTGTAGACAGCATCATGTTAATCAGTTCAGTATGTGGCACGCAATCCATTAAACGTCACATTGATGTGCGTCTCGACACTTGAATAAGTGTGCTTAAGTTACGCCGTAAAATGATGCATTAGCATATCGAGGTGTAGCTTCTTGCTTTACAGCCTCAGCTTTGAAGCTTTAAATCAAAAGCTTAAAACTTACCTTACTGAATCTGAGTTGAGTAACAGGGTGGTATCTTGAACCTCCACAAGTTTAGTCTGGTTCATGAACTTGTGTATAAATCGCTGCTGGATCAGTTTATTGCGCCATAAGTATATTGCAAAGTAATGAGATTTATGCTAGAGTTGTCAGCAACTTTGTGGTGAGTTGTATTGCTACATGATGTCGTTCTATGAGATTCGTCCATCAGAAAATAACTACAAGTCAGTTAAAATGTGACAGTTCATTTAACCACAGACAGCTCGTTGTTTTGAAATGGGATGCCTTCATGGTAGAAATTTCATTATTTTTAAATCACAAATTCACTTACGAAGCTTTTGGTGTTCAAAAAACGAACCTTTAAAGCGACTCATTGGTAGCTCATGACAATTGAAAAAAATTGAAATACTGGAGGTGAAATGATATTCGTCCGTTATTCAACTATTTTAGGAGACAACATTAATACACATGGAACGGAGACAATTTCGATTTCTGAGTTGGATCTTTATCTATGACTTGAAAAATACAAAATGCAATTTAGGTTTTGTGAATGATAATTTCCTTTGATAAGTGATGACGTGATGTTGGTGATCTGGGTTAGCGTTGCTTTAATCATTCGCAACCGATCTCACTGCCAAATATGACTTAACGTTACATTATTTAGCTAGAGTTGACTATAAAGGAAGGTAAGATAATAGATTACGATAAGAAACTAAGAGATGAAAAAGTAGTGTCACGCGCCCACATTTGAAAGTTTTTCCCCTCCAACAACTATAAGCTTCATGGATAGCCTTGATGTGCTATTCTAAACATCATGAGGCTTGCCTCAGTTGTCTTGATGAATTCGGGTTCATTACGTTTCACCAAATAGTCTATCTCATTCACACCATATCTGATTTCGTTCTTCACAATTTTTATGTAGAAAGCGTTAAATAGTTATTGATTATGCAGAAAGCAGAAGTAGAGGAGGTATTTATTCTGTAGGTACATCACTAAGCAGCTTTCAGAGTCGAAAGTGAATTTTTATGTTTTGTTATTTGGCTTTATTTCAGGTTAAAGATTACAAACATTTACGTTTAGAAGACTTAACATCTAAACCGGAATCAAGCGAAGAAGATGAACATTCAGATGGAGGTTATTCCGACTATATCAACGATGGACTTTCTGATGAGGGTTGGTCGGAGGATGGAACTAACAAAAGTAAGTTCTTGTGTCAAATATATTTCCATTTTTACCTCATCTTTTGGAAACGCTTTCTAGCGTCTGCTAGAAAATTCCCAATCACCCTCACGTGGAAAAAGGTGTTTCCAAAAGGGTGAGAGAAAATGTCCGGTGCTGTCAATGGATTAGTGGACATGGAGGGTAGACCTAAGCTAGTTGAAAGACGTTGATTCCAAACCAGTGATGCACATGGCTCGATGGTCCTGGATAAATGAATAGCGTGTGAGCCTATCTTGACTGCAGGCAACCACGGGAATACAGCACCTCACGTTGCTTCCCTGTCTTGTGGATCAAACTTGAAGTCAAAGGCTGGAGAAGTGGTCCCTTAAGAAAGCCACCTGCTTCAGTCTGGGCGTCCTGGTAGTGTCATACTCCACATACATCAGTATTAACAATGACGTACACGGGCACGTAACAAATCGTGTGACAAAATTTCTACTTACGCATACAACTTATCTGTTTTCCGTTATTTTTCCACTTGAAATATACTATTTATTCGTTGCCGTCTTCAAATTTATCTGTGTCTTAATTCACCCAACTAATCGCCACTGATTGCAATTTTGGTCTGTTTATGTCGTCTTAGGTAGCTAAACAGGTTATACTGGAAATCTGTTCTTAGATGCGATATCTGATACTATTATTCAATAACCGTTCACATTGTTTTGGCTAGCCGCCTTCAGTGTTCAAAGCTTGAAGCAAACTGAATGGCAGACGGCTCCAGTTAGATCTCTAGGTATCCTTACTATTGACATATTGGCATATAATACTAGTCATAGGTGTGTTTAACTGCACTACTTTATTTAAGATCGGTCGCTTATTTTTCTCCTGTCTTCCTATACGAAATAAGTTGGCTGGTAAGAATAAGCAGTTTAGTTGATGGTAGTGATAGGAATTTTACATTACTGTGGGCAAGATTTGTCTGCCTATTTTGGAAGATAGTTATTCACTCACTGAATGTATTTACAAGGCTATTAGATAATCATTGTGTTGGTATCTCATTGTCATAGGTTATCCAACCTGTAATATTGATTGAGTTGTAGCTCGCTACTATAAGTTTCTGAGGATGATGAATAGTTTGGAAGGAAACGTACTTAAGTGTCCAACTTCGCATCTGAAAATCGTTTACGATCCACTAACTGGTTTTGCGGATGACAAAATGAAGTCTTCATGCCCGGATAGGGCACATGTGAAGCATGATCAGAATTTAGTTCTATTAAACAGCGTTTATCTTCTGTTTATTGATTCGGGAATTATTTTATGATTTATAATATATCCTGACATCCAGTTACTAATTCTTGTAGCTTCGCTATTTTTAACCACATAGCAAGTTAGGCTCAGTAGTGCTCAATGTTGCGCTTTTGCAAAACCACTTTTTTGCCTACCCCTCAGATAAAATAAAAAAAGCAACATGCAGGTTGCATGTGAAAGTAGAATTCGCCACACTACACGTATTAATTACTTTCGTTAGTGGTATCGCGACATTTGTTTTTATCGATTGGAACTTCTTGTTTTATGGACGCACAATACCCCTACGTTTGCATCCGACCAGCTCGACTGTGGAAAAGTATCAAATTAAGTTTGAAAGAGATTAAACGATTACCTTTACGAGTTTTAGAGCACGTAATATCCAAGTTTTTATATGATACAACAGGCAATTTTTATACTTCATTCTTTTATAGTGCGAATTTCTTTTGTAATTTATGTAAATCGTTTGTGTTTTCAACGATCATAGTTCACATTATCCCATCATCAGTCAAATTATACCCAACGAAATATATTACTCGGTTCAGGAACTTATTATCGGTTGTGAATAGCACTGCAACATATTCAGTGGTATAGTGAGCACGCCAATCTATCAAGTGATTGACTTTGTTTGAAGCACGTACGCTTTATGACCAAGGTTTATGAGGTTTTAATATTAATCTTACTAATTTTACCCTCTCAGCTCAATTTGAATACATTTCTGTTTCCACTAACTACCCCTTTTGTCACTAAAATTTGTTTAGATATATGGATAGACATTACTTTCAATAGGTCTGACTTTACAGGAATTCGGATACTCCCTGGCGGCTACTCGTTTGACCTCGAGTACGCAAATGACGTTGTCCTGCTAGGTGAAGACGCTAACCAAATGCGGTCTTCTAAACTCTTAGTACGTTTAGCATGAATTTCACACCTGTAAAGTGTAAAATGACCCTTCAAGACTGGTCTGCACCCACCCACAGTATAAGGAAATCAAGTGAAGTAGTTGAATCCATCGACTATTTCACTTACTTGTGGAGTTGCATCAGTCCGAACGAGCTGGTTGCTGACGAAATCTCAGCTCGAACACGAAAGCCCTGTTCAACATTTACCTACTAGCTTTGTCTCTGGTGACATATTCGACTTCCTGAGTATACTGCACTGCAGTCTGTTCTGTCCTGTTGTACAGCTATGAGACATGGTCTTTAAAAGTAGAAGATATGAAGAGACTTCAGCGTTTTGTTCATAGGTAACCTCGTAGCCTGGTTCACGCGTAGTGGAATCGCCGTGTGAGAAATGTCGAGACTAGACGAAAAGTACTATACAAGGGAGACAAACCAGTGGATGAAGTAGTGAGACTTCAGCAACTGATGTGGCCTAGACACGTATCGTGGATGCCAAACCACTACATAGCTCGGTGTGCAATGCTAGCAGACGTTGGATTAGGTTGGAAGAAGGCTCAGTCAGGATGGTCAGACTAAAATCTAGCATCAGTCCGTGAGGTCCCTGACTCTAGTCGTGTGGTAAGGTGCAGACTACCTACCTTGTTGGCGTCCTCGAGATAAAAGGAACCGGTGGTTGGGAAACTTTGTTGACATGGTTGAGAACCGGTCACAATGAAACAGATGTATCCACTCTTTGATGTCTTCGGAAGTTTGGGATTGTTAGTAACCTTCATTTTCGAATTCTTACTCCTCCCGTACACCTTTTTCCACTTTGATATGACTCTTTTCGTTCTCACATATTGCATGTTGCTCTGAATTTCGGCGGCTTGAACCGACTCACATATGTACGAAGTCATTCGTTGCTTTCGTCCGTCTGTCTTTGTCGTCAGAAAAAATACATCCTTTGCCCCTTGCTACCTGTCTGAACGTCGTATACTCTTGCATCTCTTCAACATGTTTATTTTTGATTCGTTTAACTTTCTTATCGTACACTACTAATTGTGCACTAGGTATTGATAATCTTAATCATTATCTGTTAATGAAGCATAAAATATGCTCATGTCAAGTTATGCATGAAATGTTTGTATTCTCTATTAGGATATGTCATTTAATATGTTAATTTCAGTTAATGTCGTAGTATTAGTACTTAGGTTTCATTCTTTTCGGGATCATTTGTAATTTATTCTATATTAACCATTATTTTTTTTGCTTTAATTCTATGCTGCTGGTGTAGTCTTTATTTTCCTGTTGTATTGTTCGAGATTAACTCCTATTTCACCATGCACAGACATTCTCTAACTGGATTTGTTTTACATTCGAAATGAAACGTTAGACATTTAAGCTTTTTTAAATTTCAGGTCTACGTTGGCCATGTCCTCTATGTACTAAAGTGTTTACTTCTCGTGCTGGAGTCGCCCGACATCGCAGTATCGCTCATGGACCTAATCGTGGCCGACCTCGGGGTCGCTGGGCTAATCCCTACATGGCCAGTGTTCGACGCAGAGCTAAATTGAAAGAGGTAACTATGCTCATCATATAGTATGAGTGTACTTTTAGTTATATATAATTGTTGTACGTTTTGTAGAAGTTTATGACATCACTCTGCGGAAGCAACTCATCCAGTTCCTTACCATTCCGTTAATCATCTTTCTTGTTTATACTTTTTATATTTTGAATATTCAGTCAGAAAATTGAGATTGTCTTACGTTTAGATTGTTTTACCTCTTAGTTTCGTTTAAAAATATCACTGACAGAGATTCTGATAACCGTCAAGTTGTAAAAATAGCTCTCAAGATAATTGTGACTCACGTGTGTTCGGTTATCTGGTTGAATTCATGCTCTGATCCAAAGGGGATACTAAACGTCGTTGATAGAAAGTGTTTCTTATTGAGAGATATTCTTTACTATAAAATTTCTGCATCAGTCTAACATCGAATTAGAGGCGATGAAAAATTATCGGAAGTGATAAAAAATAGTAGCTGTTCAGAATTCTGAGTGCCCTCGTTTCTACTAAACAACAGGTCTTTTCGTTCGTCTGTGACTCTTCAGGGATTTATTCTCCTCAGAGATCCTGGATGACCCACAGATACGCTTACGCAAATTAAAGTCTATTGAGCAAAACATCTGAGTATTTTTGATCTGCATTTCACAATTGCCGAATGGATAGTGATGTCACAGAGTTGGTTTGTAAGAACACTTAGTTTAAGGATGTGGTTTTAAGTGTTTCAGTGTGTTAGCCACTTATTAGGAAAGTCAGATCAGTTTTAATAGTCTACTTACTGATAAATCCTCGCTACATGTTTGAAAAATTCCTTCAGTGTTTGAAGATTTATGCATCAGATAGTCATTCCACTGGCTGTTAGGCAGTAAGTTTCATGTCCCACTCCATGGCTGTGAGACATGGTCATATATGGGTGATTTTATTAGGTTATGGGTTTTGTAAATATTGCACTTCTGTGATGTAACCTTCCAGTAGGTAGTGTTGAGGCTACGTGTAATCTTTAAATATTGAAGGTAGCTCAGAGTCTCACTTTTGTCTGCAACAAAGGAAAAGCAAATTATTTTTCCCTTCAAGTATTTCGCATACTCCTGCTTGAGTGTTTATCTGATGTTTTAGGATTTCTGTAGTACTCATATTTTAGCGAATCGAAGTAAGTGGCTGAAGACGTTTGTATCTATTACTTTGCCCGTGATTTGTTAGGGCTTTTATTATGAAGACTACCTTTCACTCTTTCTGAACCTTAATGGTGCACAACTAATAAATTTTTCGTAAAATGTTATCGTGTATATAGTATAGATCGTAGTTTTCATTAGGTGTATCAACTGTCATAATTTTTCTATTTGTATTAAGTAAATTTTTCGTTTCTGAGCTATTTTATGATAAGTGCAGATATCTCATGATTAATCTCTGTTACTGCATTCGTAAGTAATTACAATTTATCCATAGGTCTTCTCAAAATGTTTGACGTCAAACGCAAAAGATAAGAACTTGAATAAAAAGGTACCGAAATGATAATCGTTGGTCTTTACTATACTAAGGAAAAATTTTATAAATGGGAAAAACAGTCAAAGCTGTGATTTACCGTTTTGGTTCAGTTTTGCTACAGCGATGGTTGAGACGATTTCTGACTCAGAATACAGATTGTTCTAACATCTAAAAGTCATCGAATGTTTCGTGAATTAAGAAATGTAACAATGTGAGATATAAACCCTTTGGTGTACTTTACGCCTAAAGGAAGTTGTTCAGTGAAAAGTACAAAAGGAGGATGATACTCGTGGAAGAACCATATTCTTTGGTTAAAGTATATGAATAAACTGCATGTTGGCTTACTCATCACTTAAAAAGTATATCTTTTCCTATTCCAAACACAAATCTGAACTTTACTCACCAACAATGTCCCAATTTGTATCAGCTGCATGAACATTTTATTGTTGTCGTGTACTAAAAAGCTATCAAAAATCTATTAATCGTTTGTTAGGAAGTCATTTTGTATTTTTCAATCCCTTTAGGCTGTTTCTGAGGCTACTGATGATGATTTGATCGAATTTGTTGCACCACGCTTGTGTAAACTAATTAGTCCTTGGGATCATCTTCTTTTGCGTTCTGAACATGGTAATCCTCCTCTCCCTCAAGTTCCTCGTGTTGTTTTGGACTACTTGAGTTTAGTAGAACGTGCTCGGGCGTTCCTTTGCAACCAATTGGAAGCGCGACCAACAAGCTGCAAAAAGTCAAAGAGGTTAAACGACGTGAATTCCGACGATCAGAAAGGTAAAATGTTGCTTCTGTCATCATAAACGTGTTTTGTGACCTGATCATTTTTCCCGGTAGAATGAAGAAAACAGTAAAACAGTATGCCACTCCTCCATCAGCCCTCACACAACTACCCAGACACAAACTTTTCCACTTATTCAAACGGCTTACCACCTAGGGTGAACGCAGACACAGGCTCCTGATAATCTCGCAAAAGTACTTTGCACTTCGATGGTGAAAAGCACATATCATACTTACGGACACTGATTAAGTGCGATTTAATTAACGTGTGTGTTGTCGCATAGTAAGACGATATCGTCCATATATCGAGGTCGAATGGCCGTTCTCGGAGTAGTTGATCTGCACCAAAATCACACGTTTAGAGCTGTGTCAAAAATCTCATCGATGGCAAAGTTAAAGAGAAGTGAAGAAGCCGGGCAGCATTGTCTAACCTCACTGCTGATTTGGCACTACGGAGACAGGTGGTCATATGCATATTATTATATAGTGCTTCAAGATGTTCATAAATTTCTCAGGCATACACTGCTTTCTAACAGACAACTCCAGAGTACATCTCTTTCCGACGAATCGAAGACAGCCCTAATCTCAAAAAACAGTGATTGTTGGCTTACAATACGTCTGGTGATGTTGAAGCATCTGGAGGAGGGTAAACGCATGATCAATGCATCCACAACTTGCACAAAACCCGGCCTGCTCCTCGCGAATCATTTGCTCACGTGGTTTTCAAAGTCTGCGAAATATGATGGCAGCTAATATTTCTGATGTGACTGGTAACAGACTAATACCCTATGATTGTCACATACGTAGACGTTTTTTAAAGATGGGCACAACAGTGTCTTCATTCCAGATCGATGAAACACTCTTAGTTTGCTATATCTTCTCAAACAATCTATTCAGTTCCCTGACTAGATTCATTCCTTAAAAAAGAGCCAGAGGTAAGTTGTCTGGGCTGGCTGCTTTGTGACGTTTCAGAACTTGGAGTTCCTGATGGACTTCCACTACTTTTCGAAGGACACCGCCCACCGTTCCAGATGTCACTGAAGATTGTTCATCGGTGAGCTGTTTACCTCACAGACCGTCTCATTGACAGCAGGCTTCTTTCTGTCAGTTGTTGAGATGAGTTGGAACAGCTTCCGACTATTGCGAGATGCAGCTGCTAATTTCATCTCACTAGCGCGCGCTGACCATCAAGCCTCAGGGTCCTTGCGTAAGCGTTGTATAGTCTTTCGAGTAGGGAATTTACAAGGACTATTCTACCCGATATCCACCGGAGTGGTCCAACGGGTGTCAAAAAGTTTCAGGGAGCTTGCAGAGACCCAGTGTTTATTAGCAAGACGTTCTTCCAAGCTGCAAGTGGCTTCACTCGTCATTTTCATGGTATCTTGCAAGTACAGCCAGTGACCGTCTACACTTTGTGGAGGATCGGTGGTAGCTAGCCTAAATGTGGTTAGAATTGGTATTGAGCTGCAGTGTAAGGTGTAACTAATTTGCTCAAATCAACGTGTTTAGGACGACGATTTTGATGACCACCAAAGCACAAAAAGAGCCTAGGACACACTTAAGCATGGTTAAAGTCTAGACAAGTTGAATACTAGTTGTTCTAACCTTATAACTAAAATAGTAACATTGAGGTTGCCTCTGTACGACAGACTTTGACACCATGTTACACCACTTTTGTGTAATGTAATTTTATTTATAGAATATTGATGTGTGAATTTACTCAATATTCTCATCACGGAAAGACATCATCATACGGCATATCTCCCAACATAATTGAATATCCTTATTTCCAAAACAAATTAATAGATTCGTAGTTGTACCCATGTCTCGAAATTTGGCATATGTTAAACTAAAGTTGTGACACTGAGTAGCAATTTTTCTTGTAGATGGAGGTGATAATAGTGCAACAATTGAATCTGCAGTTAACAGTGATGAACTTGGTGTACAGTCAAAAGATAAATCTGAATCTCAGTCAAATGGGATTGGTGATGATGACAATGAGGAAGACGATGATGAGGACGATAATGATGATGCGATCATAGTTAAGGTTAGTTAACTGTGCTTTTGATATTTTTCAGCTTGATAATTATTTTTATGTTTTTACGACTTTCGCTTTCTTTTATTGATCCTTAGTTAACTTATCTAGCTCTTTTTTCCTGTTGTATAGCATTTCCCATCCAACATGCTTTTCACTTCCGAGATACAAATTGTTTCTTGTGAATTTGTCTACATTAGTACTCTGTGCAGTATTAATAAGTAAAGGGGTGGTGTTAGCAAGATATCCTTATTTGTGTTACGAATTGAATGTACTTATTACTTGATTTTGTTCTAGCATTTTCTATTGATACGCTTGTAATTCTCCGTTTTACTGGGTTGAATTGTTCGATGTCTCTTGGTATATTGGCTCCTATGCAGATGTCTCGATATTGCCTGGATATTTGTTACGATTATTTTGCTTGGTTGTGGCTAGTAGAGCATTTTTCTACTAGCCGCAACCAAGTAGATTATTATGATAAAACATTTTCCTTGGAAAAGGAAAATTTGCGGTGATTTCAGGTTTCTGGTCATTTCCTCTGTGGTACCAATTGTGTGTAGATGTGTGGAGTAGTGTTAAGTAAGGTCAGGTGGTGTGGTAAGTTTATGATGTTATAAGCCTTCTTAGTTTGAAGTGACCTGGGAATTCGCTGTGCATACTGGGTTATTTTCACTCCCAAAACCGTGAAGTAGAGTCAAGTTTATGAACAACGACAATCGTGATATTATTCGATGTACTTGCTCTCCTTTGATCTGTAAGACAAAAGAAGTCGATTTTTTGATGCTCGAAGTGAGATGGCTCAGGATTGGTCACCGTGTTATGCATGATTTCACACTATGTCTTCGTCTAATTTGAAACACTACAATTCCCGTATCTCCTTTTATTACTGCCTGGTGCTTTTCAAGACTTGCTTTCATTTTCTTGAACTAGTTAAATTCTGTCTCCACGTTAATGCGGCAAGTTAAACATTTATTCAGTTATACCAGATGCTACGTTGATATAATCTTACTTTCCTTCTCAATCAATTGCTTCATAACATCTTATAGATTCAATTTAAGAAGCGCGGAACAGTTGCAGCTATGTGCAATTTGCAGGGCATATTCCCTCAATTCAAGTTGGTAATCGCTTAATGAAATTAAATTTTTCTGCACCATGTCGGTTGATTTTCTTACCTTGTCGGCTTCTTCATGAATAATTTTATGAAATATGTATACTTTTATTTCATTTAGGTAGATACAGAGGAACAGTCAGCGGCTTTAGGTTTAGCTTGTGGCAAATATATTGTTAAAGAACCTTTATGTGAAGAATATCTACCTAGACGTTTCCGTTCAATCTTGGCAGCTCAACGAGCTAATGCAGCTGCAGCAGCTGCTTCTGATTCGGATAAAGACAGTGTTGGACAACACTCGAAACATGCAGTCGTTGCAATGGAAACAGCTGAGGACGACGAGGTGGACGCAACTTTGCGCAGTGACATTGCTTCTACAGAGGATTCAGTTCAGCAATTTAGAGACGCTGCCAACTCAAATCAAACTGCTGATAGCCAATCTCAGAACATAGTGTCTTTGGGCGAGGAGTTGGTGAGTGAGATTGTCATCCACAAAATAGTACAAAATTTGTGTTTTTCTTTCTTTCAGTGTGAATTGTTCAGGTAGTACAAAGCTTATATACGTCATGCTTCTGATCTGTAATTACCGATATTTCCCTGCGTAGTTCGCAAAGCAGAATAAGTACTGTGGTCGTGTATTTCCAATCCCGTATATTTCATGCATAATGATCTTGCTTATCCTCTCTATTAAGCGTGATCATTTCGCGAAATTTAGGAAAGTGTTAGTGGTTTTGTCTTGTGCGAGTGATACAAAGCCAGTGGAGTGTGTTGTTTTAACTAGTCACAAACAGCCTTTCCAGATCCTTCTATTTCTGAAAAACAAGATAAATACTTTATTCTAAACTGTGGGGGGTTTTAAAGAATAAAATCGCTCACTCAGTTCTTTGGACAGCTTTTATGATTCAACGATTTAAAACCAGCAACTGTGAAGATGTTAGTTTTCCAGGAAGAAACATGACAGCCAAAATCCTGAACATAGTTACGACTTTTGCTAGATTTTAGTCCTAATAAGGTTTATTATCCCATATCTTCTGTTTTACGGCTACAGTTAACGTCATCGGCGCACTAGTACATAGAAAAGCAGTGATTCATGCAAGCCACTTCCATTAGTTTAGTGTTCTTTGAAGCTCAGTATTTTCTCCTAGACGTTTCATCACTTCTGCTGATGACTTTGCCGTTTCGAAATTTCGCTCACTTAGGCATTTTATCTGTCTATCACGAGAAGATAACACCGGTGATTAGGATACTGTAATTATTGAATTCGGTAAACGAACTAAATCTCTAAAATCTCACGATCTAAATCCTGTTTAAACCAGAATTTACCGTTATCATTCCATTTCAGAAGAGCTTTTGTCCGTGACTATTAAATATGCTTTCTAAAGAGTCGTCACACTAATGACCACTTTTATTGTTCATGCGAGTTAATACGATACGGATTTATCTACTCTACCATAAGCTATACTTACTTTATGATTGTCCGCGTTGAAGTAAGGGAGGGATTCAAACCTAAGATCTCTGGTCGAACTATCAGCAAATCCATATGCAGTTATATGATAAATGCTTGAAATGTTATCGATGACTTAGTATTTTATGATTCAGCTGTACAGTATTCTAGTCAGTTTTAAATTTAACACCTCCACGTGACCTGTAAACTTGAATAAAAAAATACATTCAGCAACCATATGCACATTCATGCAGTTGACAATAAGCCGCGCTAATTTACTTACAGTTAATGATAAGTGACTGATCGGACCTCATCAGTTCACTTATTACAACGGTGGACCCCTCTTTATGCTTTATGCAACATTTCCAGGACTTTAGTATAACAGCATCGCCTTGATATTCGATACTGTTTTTAAAAAAAACTAGGATAGTTGTTTTAACATTCATCTTTTGACCCCTCAGTTTTAATGGACTTTTCCTTTTCAAGCTTCTCCTTCCTGAAGGAGGTTTAGGCTGTCCTGTACCTGACGAATGGCTCGCCAGTGGTGCTTTTCTTACAGTCTTGACTGAAAATGGTCAAACCAGTGATCTAGTCATGGAGGCTGCAACTGGTCGTTTGTTCCATCGTCCCACAGGCCATCTAGTCAGTCTAGCTGATTCTCAGCAAACAAATCAGTCTAGTGAAGTCAATGAATTCCAAAGTGAAACTTATGAATATGCAACGAATGTTGATGAAAAACAAAAACCTACAACTATGTCGACATCTAAACAGTTTACTTCGGAAAAACGTAAGAGTGCATCAACAAAGTCTAAAACTTCATTAAAATCACGAGGAAATGAAGAACCTGAAATCAGCAACGATGTTATTTCTCAACAAGAACAAATTCTCGCTCAACTTGCTGAAAATGGGGATGTTATTGATCTGAATACACTTTTCCCAGGAGTATCTGTTACAGAAGTATCACCTGGTGTTTGCTTGGTTACTAAACCGAATGGAGATCGTTTTAATGTGAGTCATTTAAATCACTTTAAAAGAGGCCATAAGGGTTTTTGTGGAATACAATATGTATTTATTATTCATTTCATACTAGAGTATTAGTCAGCAGAACCGGTAATACTCACTGATCTATTTGGAGTATCTATTTATTGTTCGGAAATAGTAGATAAAAAATAGGTACGTAAGGTGTCGGAACTCTAAAAAAAGGATAAAATGTGAACACACTAAAAACTAAATCAGTTTCAAGTCATCAGATACGCTTTTCAACCATCAATTTTCAACTTATTGTTGACTCCAGCTGGGAAAGTAGTAATTGGTCATCGAAGCAATAGTCAATTACTCCACTTGGTGTTGCCATTTTTTGTTCTAGTGACCTGAACTCTTCTGAATCGATGATGGTTGAAGCATCTCTCAATGTCAAATACTCAATGTTCGTTTCAGCATTCTGGTCACTTACTGAATCACTTTATCATTCGTAATAGTCTGAATAACCGTCATATTTTTTGAGTCAGGCAACTTTATACGTACAATACCCTCAATGTCTTGGTTGCCGCCTATTTCCAGACTGTCTTTTGCTCCCACCATCCATCACTATATGTAGTAACGTGCATAAATTTTTATTCCTTATCTCCCCACTTTGTAAGGTGACTGGAATTTATTACCTAACATCTGATAGATTGAATTATTCCGTTAGAAAACTCAGGCTTCTGGTATACCTTATCAATAGTTTACTGGACATTTTTCTATCTTTTGTCACATCAGGTTGCATATAACTCCCAGCCGCATCAAATTGAGTATAGCCGGTATGGACTGATCTTTTAAGGTACTGAATACCATGATTCTGTGCTATAGGTCGATAGTAGTGGTTGTGAGGTCAGACCCCTGTTTTTAATAGTGTGGCATATCGTTATACGGTCAAAATCTAATCGAACGATAACTACTGTATTTACACAATTTCCATACTATAGAGGTTCGCACAAAGTTTGCTCACGTCATCAAAGCTACCGTCGTTGGTGACTACACGTGAAAATAAAGCATTTTAGGGATCGTTCTGTCACTTAAAGTATATCCTATCGTTTACATGATCTAAGCTTCGGATATTGAGTAAACAAACAAGTATAAGGAATAGGTGTTGGCTTTCTGCTTGAGGGACCTATACGCAGTCGTAACCCGACACCCGTCCACAAATGAGCTTTACATTTTAGATCACTCCATTTTCTGAAATGGTCTCACTGGCATTTGATTTTGATTTCCCAAACTTCTTGAATAGATTTGTCATAAGTCAGTTGAGTCAAATTGTGTAGGCAATTAGTGTTTTAAAAACATTTTCTGTATAACATGCTAAATATTTGTTCTGATTTTTAAGTTATACTTGCTAATTTATAATGACGTCATTGAATCTTGGATATCATTTCATGGACCTCTCTGTCAGATAATTTTTAAAAGTGGTGCAAACAGTGGGCAAAAACAGTGTTCTTGAGATCAAAATCCGTCTTCTATATTTCCTGGTTTATTTTCGTTATTCAGTTAAAATATTCTTCTGTTATATATAACAGGATTATCATAATTGTGATAGTTTACTAGTGCATATTCTATTAACGAACCTTCTATTATTTTTATGTGAAATGTGGTAGCCGTTTATTTTCATGCGATGAGCAAGTTTCATGTAGATAAAAGTTGAAACGCCCATATCTATTAATCTCTCAAGCTGATTTCATCATCACATTCTCATTTAATTAACTTCAAGCATATACAACCATTCCTTATTGCTCTGAAACCAGTCCAAATGAGTCATAACTGAAACTCAACGCATTTTACATTGTCGCATTTTTATCCACAGTTGTAAATTAATTTTCCACTAACCTATTCAGGTCACAACTGATCACCTGTAGTATTGGGTTGTGAACATTAGTCTTGTTGTATTCTCATCCTGTTTATCAAACTAGCTCACTTCGTTTTTGGGGTTGTTACATCAATTAGTATCCATTTGCCTATCAGTCTTCCTGTCGTACTTAGCACACATAGGATACTTTCCTTTTGTTGATGACTAACTTGTGGGCTTGTTACGTTGTCTATTTCCGTTTACACGAATAAGTTTACTTTTTCATTTCGGTTTTTGCTGTCATACTGTGATGAAACTTTTCTGACAGACAGACATGATCAATGTAGAACCTTGCCCAGAAGTGCTTTGGTTCAAGCTGTTACACTTCACAACACCATGCAAAGAATACGTGAGTACGAAAAGAGTCATATTAAAGTGGAAAAAGGTGTACGGGAGGAGTAAGAATTCGAAAATGAAGGTTACTAACAATCTCCAAACTTCCGAAGACATCAAAGAGTGGATACATCTGTTTCATTGTGACCGGTTCTCAACCATGTCAACAAAGTTTCCCAACCACCGGTTCCTTTTATCTCGAGGACGCCAACAAGGTAGGTAGTCTGCACCTTACCACACGACTAGAGTCAGGGACCTCACGGACTGATGCTAGATTTTAGTCTGACCATCCTGACTGAGCCTTCTTCCAACCTAATCCAACGTCTGCTAGCATTGCACACCGAGCTATGTAGTGGTTTGGCATCCACGATACGTGTCTAGGCCACATCAGTTGCTGAAGTCTCACTACTTCATCCACTGGTTTGTCTCCCTTGTATAGTACTTTTCGTCTAGTCTCGACATTTCTCACACGGCGATTCCACTACGCGTGAACCAGGCTACGAGGTTACCTATGAACAAAACGCTGAAGTCTCTTCATATCTTCTACTTTTAAAGACCATGTCTCATAGCTGTACAACAGGACAGAACAGACTGCAGTGCAGTATACTCAGGAAGTCGAATATGTCACCAGAGACAAAGCTAGTAGGTAAATGTTGAACAGGGCTTTCGTGTTCGAGCTGAGATTTCGTCAGCAACCAGCTCGTTCGGACTGATGCAACTCCACAAGTAAGTGAAATAGTCGATGGATTCAACTACTTCACTTGATTTCCTTATACTGTGGGTGGGTGCAGACCAGTCTTGAAGGGTCATTTTACACTTTACAGGTGTGAAGTTCATGCTAAACAATGCAAATTGTGTACGAAATTTAATTGAATGTAAATGAAGCAATTCAACACTTCGCTGATTTCACACTGTATATCATTGTCTCTGGAAAGCTAGCAAACATCAGTGTTTAACAAGTTTTTGTACTCATTACAAGTGTTACACCATTTCTAAGCGAAATTCTATTTAAATGTTTTATTTATTTATTTTAGGTTGAGCATGGCGGCGAAGGCTTAACGCTGGAAACACTTCAAGCCATCTTACAGATGGATGCCTAGATCAAATGTTTAAGTTTATATAATCTTTTGTATATACTCAGCCAATGTTTTCCTTTCGTTATAGCCATGTAATTTATCTCATTCTCAACTCTCTGACATTCATTTGTTTTTTTTTCGTGAAAAGGTATGGTATATGGTTAGACTGATTTGTATTCTTACCAGCCTACCCACGCCCCCATGTACAAAAGATTACCAACTTCATACTTTTTTCCTTCTGTTGCCGTTTATTAGCTTTTTTGGGTATACGGCTAATCTTCAGCCACGTAGGAGGTAATCTTTGCTCTATTATGAGTTTTGTATTTTAAATTCATTTATATGTGTGCATATTCGTATTTCAATTGTCCGTAATATACCTAATAAATTATGACAGTTTCTATTTTACTGCTATTTTTTTTTTATTTATATACTTGTAATTCTTCATTATATTATTGGATCGAATTGTTCGATCTCTATTGGCATATGGGCTCCTATACGGATGCCTTGATATTGCCTGAGTGTTAATTATGGTAGTTTGGTTGGTTGTGGGTGGCAGAGGAATCTAGAACGCGCGTTGTGCATAACGCTTTGGCGTTTGAAGCGATAGGTATGAGGTTCGAGTCTCAGTGAGAACAACATCACGCACTGGGGTGCAGGTACATCCAGTTTCTGTCTTGTCAAATCTTTTGTGTTTTAAACCAAGGACATATATTTTTTGATCAAGAATAATTTTTGAGTTATCATGAGTTTCTCAAAGTTTTTCATCATATCAGTTCTTACTGTCCTTGTCTGAAGTTTATGTGATGCATGTATTCACATGAGCATCTAACGATGAGGAAATATTAAGTTAGGCTCACGAGTGTTTTAATCCACAGTCTCGCATGAATTCGCCATGTAAGAGGGCGACCTAGCTGTTACCTGGGCCAACTATATGGTTTAAATTTCTGTTCACAGTGCGAAGTGGATATCAAAATATCTGCTGCAGCATTGGCATTGAAATCTCTTCAAATCACACCAACACTACCTGTGTTTATGCTAACCGATATTAACATATCGGTCACCGAAATTTGCCATCTGCAGACTTTGGTCAGTTTCTTTATAGAAAATTCATTATAACACGTGAACGCAAGTACTATCTTGCTTAATTTTCTAAGCACTGTGGAATCCGAGTCATTACCGGGAATTTCTCTGGTAAGTATTTTATTGAAAAACTGTCTATTAAAAGAGATAGGAATAATGTCTTTCAATTACATTTTGCATTAGTAATATTAAGCGGGGATATAGAATAACCTCAAATCTATTTTATAGCTATTTCCTTATAGTAGCAAAAGACAGACAGTATCAACATAAAACCTAGGATTATTGCGTAACCATCCAGGTTACCGCAACTAATTTCAAGCGACAATACACTGAGATGAAAGATAATCAGTAAGAAAGTCGTCGAAAGGGATGAAGTCATATATATATATATATATATATATATATATATATATATATATATATATATATATGGAAATTTCTAAATAATGCATTCCGTTCTACCATATGAAGATTATTAGTTTACTTTGAGTGAATTAATAATAGTCCCCCATGAGGGGTATACAGGAGGATTAGATGAAGGTTTTAGGTTCACAATGGACTGAGGAGTCCAATTTCGGTTAATACTCGACAGTGTGGAAACTGTAAATTAAGATTTAATAAGTTAATCAAATTTAAACGCTCACCTAATCGTTACGAGATGTTTCATTTGCTCCAAAGAATCTTTTCAACTACATGAAGGGAAACAAGAAACTGAGCATGGAAATACTTAGAACCCAGTTGCTAGCTGACAGATTTGCTGTACCCATTTAACAATCAGTTTTAAAATAAACGAAAGATATGATCAAGAGAAAATATACTCGACTCTCAGCGATAAGTTTGTTGTCAAACGATAAATCTCATTGAATGGTGTCCACGTATGTGGTAAATTATACTTTTTGTAAAATAACAAAATTAAACTATCTGACAAGGTAGCGATAAGAACAGCACTCATTTGTTTGCCAAGATAGTAGAAAAAGGATTCAAATGAATTATTTGGAATGTTTACCAACTATCTATCTTATAAAGGAAATTATGGCTATGTACTTGAGTCACGTATGCATCAATAACGTGAAGCGAAGTCAGAAAATATATTTCAAGCTGTTATTTTCTTGACTCAATAGTGTAGTTGGTGTTACTGAGCTTTGATTGATTCTGTCATTTTCAAGGACTGTAACTGCATTTAAATGAAATCTCGTCATATTTTGTACGTATTCACCTATCTCATGTCTTTAACCTGCAGTCTGTTATATTTGCCAGTTGATTTGATGATGATAAAATTCTATCCGCACTTGACAGTCTCACTTTTTAGACACTAAACATGCATTACAACAATTCTGGTATTATCTACCTCAACTTATATATAAATACAATTGTACAGCTTATGAAAATGAAATCACCTAAAAAAAAAGTTTTCTTCGCTGAGGTCTTTTTCAGTGGAGATTATAAATTCAATTCATCCTGTCAACCATTATTGCCTTTCCGTTTGCTTTGATGTTATCACCTGTAATGTAATAGCAGATGACTCAGAGAGAATAAGTTTATACTAGGTCACAATGAATGATAGTGTATTTGACAAAGTACACTTCCTAAAAAGTGTTGATAGTCTGTTCAAGATCTCCGTGAATGAAAACAAAAGGTAGTGAGGTCAGTGAAACTCATCAGTGGTTGGTTGTTGCCCTCAGTCACCCCACATAGGGGTGCAAAAGTTCCGGAAATTACTTGAATGGGTGCTACGCATAAAATTACATATCGGTACATTAAATATAGTCAAAAGATATAGAAGCAATATAGTTATTATCACTCATTTTTCGATAACTCCTGTTTATAAATACAAAGTTGGTAAGTAAGTGCATTCACTTTGTCTATCAGCACCCAATTAAATGAGCCGAAAACTTCATGATAGAAATGGGATTTCACTGAGATTAGTTTCTCATATCTGCAGTTGCTGTAGGCAAAGCAACTACATTCGAAAATCTATCAGACACAATCAACAATAAATTGGTAATAAGTACTTTTGTTGATTCTATATGAAATTCAGTAATACGCCGTAGATTTCTGAGACAAGAAAGTAAATTAGACAAACTCATTGAGTTGTTGAGGAAAGCAACTTAAGCATAGGCATTCACCGTAAAGCTTAAGTTGTCACCAAGTGACTTAAACTATTCGGGAGGAACACGTTTCTTCATAAATTTCACGCACATTTTCGTTGTTCTTTCTCTATTCAAGTTCATTGAGAGAAACATCTGTAAGAGAATTTCCGAATAATCAGAATTTACTGTTACCAAATCAACTTCCGCATTATCTGTGAAAAAGACTTTTAATAGTTTATTTTAACCAGTTGCTCATAATCATTTCTTACATTAGTCTTGCTTGAACTACTTTGATTAACTTTAGAGGTAAGAAGAAACCCAAAAACTAAGATTCACTTTGTTGTTGTTGCTAATGCTATTTTCAACCGTTGGAGTGTGGTCGTTTAAAGCAGTAGACCAACGCTAACAGCAAATCTTATCTGATGCTATCTACATCTAAAAGGATGCGTTGCCTTAGTTTTTTTTTGAGTTCATAAATTACAAACATCCAAAGTGGCGGGTAAAATCTGAATTCCGAAGGCCATTTCATAGACCAGAAACATGTGCATGGTGTCTTAGACATGTTGCACGCTTTGAGCAACCTAAATTTACAATACTCAGACGCTCAACTTCAGAAACACTCAGCAGTATTGCATCACATGACGTAGTGATTATTTCATAAACCTCGGTAGCAATAACATCAAGTGTACCGTTCATGAGAAACGGGTGGCTGGGCTAATTCGAGAGTACGGGGTCCATGGAGAATTTTAGGAGGCCAAGACTATCTGATTTCTTAGTTTCGCTTCCTTGTTACATCTGCGTAGACTTCCTCGAATGTCATTTTGCAACTCTATTTTATGATGTCTGTTGTTACGATTAACGACAAATCATAATGAGATTCAATGCTAATTTTTTGTTTTGCATAATACGGATGGAGATTTCTGTAAAGGACAGTAAACTCTGAAGACTTACGCAGCACACGTACCGTGAAATAATTAATCGAATTCGCTTCCCATGTTCAGTTACAGGATGTTAAAGTATCTAAGAAGAAACTTTGGGTACTAAAGAGATGAAGATACGCGTCGATGTTCACATGGAGCTAGGAAAACGAAGAAGTTCAACAGTGAAAACGACGTATCCTAGGTAGCAATAATAGGCGTAGTCTTGTTTGGAACAAAAAAAAGAGATGTCATAATGACTTTTAAGCCAAGCAGAAAAACAGGTGATGAAAATATGCCACTATGAAGAAAATTGTCTGAAAAGGCACCTATCATAATTGAGTTACTAGAGTGACAGTTGCTCTTCCGTGCAGCAAAAGGCAGCAGTTAGGTATAATTGAGAGAGTTATTACAAAATCCTAGAATAATTTTCATTGACGTGGGGGTACAAAATGACTCGAAATGATTAAAATGAGCTGAAAATATGTAATAAATTTAAGCACCTCGAAGTTTTACAATATCTCGGAAAAATTTTGTCACTTTTATTCTTGTGCCATTTGAACTTGAGATGACATGAGAAAATAATACAAATGTAACTACAGTATCTGTGCCTGAAATAATCAGAAATAGTAACCAAAAATCTAACACAGGAATAATAGGCTGACCTTGTCGAAAGATTTCGTCTTCAGAAATGAAGCGGTATCTCAGCTTAAGTAAATTAGTTTCTCTTGTTCTTTCTAATTGTTGATACTTCGGAGCATTGTTTGGGAAGTCTAGTATATACAGTTTAAAAAAGATGTATCTATGGATTAAATGTACAGTGGGGTGAGTAATATATACAGAAGCCTAGATAAGCTTTCAAACTTAGGAGATGTCCTCCAAAATATCCAGTACAAAAGTGAAGAAAGTTGAGCATAAACAGGCTGTCTCATTTCAC